AGGCCCGTGCCGGTACAGAGCACCGCTTCAGGGTAGACTCCAGGTGTCCTCTGGTGGGTATCTCTGATATCCTGCCAGCTACACCATGCATGTGGACAAAAAAATTAATCAATAGTTATTTCAGAAAGAAATGGAAAATTCTATTGGAGCCAAAGTGAGGATTATAACCTGGGAAACAGTCTTTCAGAAACTTTGAGGACCACTCCACCCATTAGAGGTCTAAGCACAATTATGGGGACAAGAGGTTGTACATCAAATGGCATATTTACACAGTCCAGATCTGCACACATAAAGTGAGAGTGGGTCATTGTGACCCCTTACAAGATTAAGAAAAAAGCTTATCTTCTAAGGAGGTCTGGTTAATGCAGATGTACAACACATACTATAGGGGAGGGAAGAGGCCCAAATGGGAGAGAAAATTTTTATGTTTAAATTTTTCTGGTTTTACTATAAAATACGAATTTTATTTCATTAGTAGCAACCAACAATCTGCCTCATTGCTTCACAAGATTTCCTGTAGCTTCAGTCAAGGAAGTCCTGGTTTGGCTCTCTGCTCCTCCCTCTTCAACAAACAGCCGTGTCTTGTACACGTCTTGTACAGTGCCGGCCACAGCCCTGAGACATGATGGTGGAGGTCAGACAGAGTAAATGGATTGACCATATTGAGCCTGGTCACCAGGGCTCTCTTAACTCTGATGAACTGGATATTGTTGCCGTCAATGACCCTTCACTGACCTCAACTACATGCTGTATATGTTTCGATATGAGTCCATCCATGGCAGGTGCAATGACACAGTCCAGGCTGAGAGCAGGAAGCTTGTCATCAATGGAAAGCCCATCTCCACCTTCCAGGAGTAAAGTCCCACCAGCATCAAACAGGGTGATGCTTGGTGCTGAACATGTTGTGGAGTGACTGGGGTCTTCGCTACCTTGAAGAAGGCTGGAGCTCACTTGAAGGGTGGATACAAAAGGGTCACTATCTTTGCCCTTCTGCTGATGACCCCATGTTTGCGATAGGCATGAACCATGAGAAGTATGGCCGCTTCTTCAAGATTGTCAGCAATGCCTCCTGCACCACCAACTGCTTGGACCCCTGGCCCAGGTCACCTATAACAACACTGGCATTGTGGAGGGACTCATGACCACAGTCCATGCCATCGCTGCCACTCAGAAGACCGTGGGTCTAATGGCCATGGGGCTGCCCAGAACATCATTCCTGCTTCTATTAGTATTGCCAAGGCTGTGGGCAAGGTCATCCCTGAACTGAATGGGAATGTCCTCAACCCCAGTGTGTTATTCACGGGTCTGATGGGGCCACCTGGGAAGAGCTGCCAAATATGATGACATTAAGAAGGTGCTGGAGGGCCCCTAAAGGGCATCCTGTGTTGTGCTGAGGACCAGGTTTACTCCTATGAGTTTAACGGTGACAATCACTTTCAACGGTGGGGTTGGCATAGCCCTCAGCAACCAAATTGTCAAGCTCATTTCCTGGTATGACAATGAATTTGTCTACAGCAACAGAGGAGTGGTCCTTATGGTCCACATGGCCTCCAAGGAATAAGAGCTCCCTGGACCACCAGCCCCAGTGAGAGAGCAAGAGGGAGAGAGAGGACTCCAGCTGCTGGGAGTCCTTGCCCCAGATCTATCCCCCAACACAATGAGAATCTCCTGTTTGAGACAGTTTCCATCCCAAACCCCCTGAAGACAGTGAGGGGCTCAGGGAGCCCTATCTTGTCATGTACCATCAATAAAGTACACTGCATTCACCCTCCAAAAAAAGAAAGTCCTGGTTTACATGGCCCAGGATTTTCTTTTGTTTTGTGTGTGTGTGTGTGTGTGTGTGTGTGTGTGTGTTGGAGGGTGAGGGGAGTCGGGTGGGAAGGAGGAGATCTAAGATCATAGTTGCATAATATCACAGAATAAACCCCCAAATTTCAGGGTCAGCTGGCAAAGATGAACAGTGACAGACTTATTAAAATTAAGATGTGTATAGGGCACGTTACAACCTGTAATTTACACTTGTGTAAGCCAAAGTTTTAAAAGCCACCACCCAGTGTTCTTCAGCTTTGCCGTGGCATCTAAAGAAGAGAAAACACCAGCCCAGCTGCTTCCTGAGACCCTGGGGTTTTCTGTGTGGAAGATTTGAGTACTACTGCCATTTCAAATACCACGTGGGACTGAAGATAAAGGTGCCATAGAAATGATGAGAGAGAATAGGAATGTTTCCTATGGGACTCAGTGCCAATTTAGCACTATTTTTATGCTTTTATGTAAGGGGATGATTAAGATGTCAGTAAAGAAAAGGCATTTCTGGGTCCTGATTAAAAGCGTGACTACCAGGGGGCTACTCATAGACATACACAGACCCACAACTCCTTTGCAAGTCACCAGCTTAACACTATTAGCAGGCTTCCCTGACTCCCACAGCCCTATATAAAACCACTGGTTTGTCAGATTGTCATGAACTCTGGGCCACAGCCTGAGAAATTCTGGCTGTCAGACTGGAAATTGTGTGACAACCTTTTTAAAGTGTCTCCTCTGGGAGACAAAAATCCAATGGCTTGCAAGGAGATACTTACTGGGATCGTGTCTGGTAAACATCTATGTTTTCTGAGTTTGGCCAGAGATAGACTTCAGATATCTATATCTATATCTATATATACAGATATATATCTATATCTATATCTATATCTATATCTATATCTATATCTATCTATCTATCTACATATCTGTGTGTGTATATATCTGTGTGTGTACACACACACACACACATATTTAAGAAAAAATAATATCCT